GAAACCACAATGGTATAAAAATGCTCAGCGCATTCTCACCGAGGTTCCTCTACGCTACTCTACGCTACTGTACGCCACGTAACTACGCACCGATGATGTCACCTCGAGTGCTGACCAAACGGTTGCAACAAAATTGCCAAGCTAAGCGAACAGTTCAACCGCCATCCAAATGCGAATGATTTCATGCTGGGTCGGCCATCAAGCAGTGGAAAGAAAAGTGTCTTCTCTGCTGCGTACAGCGAGGTAGGTAGGTAATAACATGCCACCACTGGTGTTTTGGTTCTTGTTCTTCTTATTTCCCTCTATATTCGCCTAACCAAGTCCCCGCTTCTCCTGGCTCACTTTACCTGCCCCAAACCAGACCAAACCATAACCCGGATTCCTAGCTCAAGTGACCGCCAGGCGTGATCGCCTACCTCGGCGGAATTCACTCAACATCAGATGCTGGAACGCGTACACTTCTGAACTGGAATATGGATGAGCGCCCATGAGCCGCGTACTGCAGTAGCCGCCATGGAGCCCGGTCGCTACGGCATTCATATTGCTGCCATAAGTGAGACTTGGCTGACCGACCAAAGTAAGCCGGACAATGTTAGTGTCTGCTACACGTTCTAATGGATGTGAAACGGGTGGTGACGCAAGGATCAAGACAAGAAACAGCTCATCAATGTCAGTACTAGAAGACAAGTCTCCGACATCACAAATACTGCGATTCGTAAATCTGGCATCACCGAAGAGGCGAAACACGTATGCGCTAACATTTGAACGCCGTATTGATGGGCACGGAACAAGTACTAGGTTGCTGTTGCACTGCATACATGTTTCGAAGGCACAGTAAAGGAAAACTACGATGGAATGCAAAGTACGAGAGAATGTTGCTTGTTGGCTGGACACAGAATGCGGAGGTTGGAATACCCAATGTCGAAACGCAGCTACGCAAAAGAGATGATATGGATGCTAGTTGGTATGAGTTATGAGGTGGCGGGAGAGACTATGGTGCGCTGAGACTGGTGGTGGCTAAATCCTGAGAGATGGTCTACCCACTGCTGCCACTGATGTGCTATGGGCTCATGTCCTGGGCGCCTCCTCATGGCGACCGCTGAGTCGGAGTTGGGTTACGCCTTTCTCCCTGTTAAGATCCAAGACACCAATCCGCATGAGTCAGTGAACTGACCATGTGCTAGACCCGCTGCCTTTCGGGTGTACATTTAATCGAAGGCTTTGGCTGAGGACCCGAGTCGTTCTCCTGTCAGGTGTGGGTGCCCTGCCAGTATCCTAGTCCATCCTCTTCGGAGGTTAGGAAGTGGTCGATGGCCCTCTTCCCGTAAAACCTAGCCACGGGAGAAAACAGGCCTACGGGTTATAAGCTCACACCTCGATTGGCGTAGAGCACGAGCGTCACGCATTGTCTCTGACGATGCCAACCTGTCTATTACTCACTACCTCCTCCATAATGGCTCCAGGAGACAGTTGGTCGTTGCTGGAGGGGACGGGGTGCATAGTTCTTGTGGCCGTGCTAGGCTCGAAGAGCGGTTCCATGCACTCAGTGTGGAGCGGACCACGGTCCACCCACAGCCTTGTGTGCGACTAATTCTCAAATACAGCGTGACTGTGTTTGCCTGCGAAGGAGTGTGGGTTGGCTCCGTTGATGAAACGTGGCTCCCATCCACATGCCTCCCGGTCTTATTCCTTCGGGTTTACACTGGATAAGGGGTGTGTGGTTGGAGCTGTGGGTGGTGCAGCGCAAGCCACCCATGGTCCCTCTGTAGGCGCAAGCGGCTTGTGACTGGCCACAGTGACAGGCAAATCCGAAACCGGATGTCGCCGACCATGGGTTATGAGGTAGGTACTTCAGTTCAGCTCGATTAAAGAACAATGACCTGGGCATCGAAGTGCGACGGATCCAGTTGTCACGATTCGCATCGCGAGACTGACAATAAAGTACAGTTTGAAGGCAAAAAGAAAACAGAATGGATTCCAGAAAGAACTGCGTTAAACTACTCCGGCGAGGAATTAACAACTAGATGCAAGAAAGTGTATGCAGGAAGGCCACTGGCTGCGCGACTGCACCATGGCTGATAGTCTTTAACCATTAATATGGACCATCCCGGGAACCATCCAGGAAGACGTCGCGTACCAGCCTGACCAAGTCACTCAGTTAGTTTATTCATGTCTTTGTGCCAAGTCATGGACTGGCCGCCTGGCGGTTTCGCCCAGCTTAGTGCAGCCACGAAGTATAACGCACGCCGGGGGAGGCAGTCACAATGGGCATACAGAGGACATGGCCCAGTCAGCGTAAGCGATTAAGGTTCCACAAAGAGTCGAGTGAGGCACCAGATGGTTTCTTGCTAAATACAAACTGGCGGACATCAGCATGGTGCACCAGGTGTTACCACCAGACGTGAGGAATACTCCACAAGCATCGGTGGTCATCGGCGTTTAATGTCGCCACTGCAAACTGACCAGGTCTCTGATCCATGCAGTAGCACCGGCCTTATCGGAGCGTTATACACCGTACATTTCACTGACAAGTTAATATCCCGCCGTCTCCAGAGATGGTTAAAGCCACACAGGCCTTGCTGATACTCGAAGTAACCTGCACAGTGACGTGACCACCAGTGGTGACATAGCTACCAAGATAAGTGGACCGATCCACCACCTCCAGAAGCCGTTCGCTGAGAGTTAGAACCGGTGGCGTATTGGTCCAGTCTTGCAACAGTACTCTGCACTGTGAAGGTGCGAATCAGATGCCGAAGCGCCCAGCGCTACGCGTCAGTCCATCCAATAGGGCTTGAATGGCCATTGCATCAGACCCAAGGATAGCAATGTCGTTTGCATACTCAAGGTTTGTCAGTCGGTCACCCAACAGATATTCCGCTCCAGTGAAGTTTGTAAAAACCGGGTCACTCGTGATCGTTTCAATCACAAATTGGAAGAGGAAAGGTAATATAGGACAATCCTTGCAAACCGCACTTTCCATGAGGAACTCAGAAGACAACTGGCCGTATAACCATCGGGAGTCACGATAGGGAATTCAGAATGAAAAGCAGTTTAGCGGACACGCCCTTCATGGATAGGCAGTGTCACAAACTGGCGCGGTGAGCAGAATCGAACGCAGTTTCAGGTCAAGGAAAACAAGCTACTGTAGGTCGTCTGCAAATGTGTCGCTTGCTCCATAAACGGTGAATGAGTTGAGAGCGTAGGGAAAAACAGAAGAATAAAAAGCAGAGGGAGTATTGTCAATGTGGTAGAGAGAGCGGATGATTTTCTCTAGCTGTCCATTCGAAGAGAGCGTTCTTGTTCGAGGTGCCCTCTCAACGTCAGAGACAATGCGCCGCACCACGTCGCTCCACGTCAAACGAGCTGTGAGCTTGTAACCCGTAAACCTGTAATCTCCCATGGTTAAGTTTTAAAGGAACAGAGCCATCGACCTCTTTAGAAGAGGCTTCTTTCTCATCCTCAGCTAACGTATAAGAAAAAATCTCCGAAGTGAATTTCGTGGCTGAGTTAGTCTGCCCTCTAACCACTGACGCGTCTGGCATGAATGGCTCCGATGGTAGTCGGAAAGTGCCCCCAGCGTAACTCAATGGATCACAGAGGTACGCAAACCATCGCGCCAAGTTAAGGTCCATTCTCGTCACGACGAAAGAGACAGGTAGTGGTCACTTGCTGCCAAACACGGGAAAGGCATTTGCGAAAACAGAATAGGCGGAACTGAGGGAAAAGTTGCTGGCTACGCTGTCTTGTGTGTGCATGATGTCACCTATCTGCTTATACAGAAAAAAGTCTTCGTCCGAGGGGCAACACCACTAATCTTCAACTCAACCGTATAACCAACAAGGCAGTGGGGAGCACGTGCGAGTCGAGAGTGTAATTACAGATTCCCATTGCAGGTCTGTCGCACGCAGGATTTCGAGGATTTAGTATGGTTCACGTGTTTCGACCGTAGAATACTAAGCACCCGCGACCACAGCAAAGCACAGGTGAAACGTAGCGGGTAAGCAACTTTTCTTATCAGGAAATCCCTGACTTGAGGCTAGCGGCAGCAAGCCGCTGAGCACGGGTTTTTCAACTCAGCCGTAAAACATAATGCGTGATCCCCTACTCAACTTTAATCGGGCTGAGCCTGTAAACTGTAAGTGGTTGCCTCCGAAGGCTAAGGTTTGAAATTACAGAGCAAACGAAATCCCCTTAACTTCCAAAAATGAATGCCGAGAGTGAGCTTATTTGATCTCTATTCATCGATCGTCTGGCATAAGGGGTTCAAGGCACTTGAGAAGTATCCCCAGTGTAGCTCAATGGATCAAGAAGATACGCAAACTGTCGAGCCACATAAAGATTCAGTCACATCGTGATGACCAAAATGATGCAAGTAGAAACCCCACCGATAGCCTGATCAGTGAAATAAAACCGACTACCAGTGTAAATGGACTCGTGATCAGAAGAAGCGGTGGCACATCGACTCAGACCTGCGGTAAAATAGTGTCCTATGAAACTTGGGGATAGAAGCCGATGTACGAAACGTTCTTACAGACTGTTCAAGGGGCTTGTAATGGTCCCAGGCCTCAATACAAGAAAAGTGTACCATTCACACATCTTGAGTGTCAGTTAGCGAACTGGCAAAACGTTAATCATTGCAAAATTATGAGGAGCAGAGTATTTTTAGACGAGTAGTTTAAGATGGATTCAACAATAAACCAATTACGGATCGATACAGAGGTCTGAATTACCAGTAAATCTGACGAGCATCACGCAACGCTAGCCAGTGACGCTCGTTGGGATTAGTTCATTATAGTGCGTAAATATCGATTGAGCGAAAAATTCTCTCACAAGTGAAGGCAAACGTGGACTATCGTCTTCAAACAGAAGTGTAATGAGCACAAAGAATGCGGCCACAAACAGTGGACATGATAAACATAGAGGAAAATAGGAAATCAACCGAAGAGCATTTCAATGGAAAAAGCATGCATACACGATAAAGGACATTTTGGAAAACTCACTATTGTCCAGGTTAATCGTTGGTATACGAAGCTCGCGCCCTCTTCTAGCGCAAACAGAAGACCGCCAACGGGGGCACCAAATGCTGCAGCTACTCCTGCGGCTGCACCGGCGCCAACGAAGTCGCGTTTCTGTTGATCATTTCGGAAGCATCGCATGAAACGGAAAGACCAGTTGAAGATCCGCACGCGCCCTTGAGATATACCAGCAGCAATAATAGAACCGATATGAATCATCGGTCCTTCCTTGCCAACAGCTAAGCCGCCAGACACAGCCAAAACCAAGCCTCCGCCTTTGACCAGCATAGTGAGAAAACGCATCAAAGTAGGCAAATTCAAGCCGTTCAGGTAGCATTTCACTTGAGGTATACCACTTCCTGCTGCGGTTGGCTGAGAAGAATAGAAAATCACGCCTTACCGCAAAGAATACGACTAGAATCGATGACATGCACACGAGAAACATGTTGATACCACACCACACGAAACCGGGAACCGAGACGAGCCAGCTGGTTCGAAAGCGATGGAGCACTAGACGAGTTAAGGTACTTCACGAAAAGTACTGGAATGCTGAGATGCAGAAAAACAGTAATCGTTTAAAGGATACAGGTAGCTACTAGATTATACTTTGACTCCGAGATGATCTCTATTAGGAACTCAATCAACGATGCTGCCAAAGCAGTAAAGAGTCCGATCAGGAACAATACGACATGACGCATAAATGCAATATAATATCTTTTTGCCTGGAACTCAGAAGTTCAAAAGTACCAAAGGAAGTACCGTTTTCCCGTTTTTGATTATCTCATTGATGAATATAGTGTTCTGGACAGGATCATATCCGAAGCTCTAAAACCTGCATAAAAGTGGGCGACAGCATGCCTCAATGCCTTGGTCCAGTATATCATGGGGTCTAAGATCACTCCTGAGCGTGGTTGAAGAAACTGATGGGCTCCTAGATCGACGCTGGTGACCATAAATTGGAGCTATATGCTTCGGAACACTTATAAAATCACAGCGCAACCTTACTTCGACATCACTCGATATAGCCAACCTGGCAAAATGAGGCAGTGACCATTTCTCTACAAATGGCTGCGCTGTTCTTGTGGATTGTCGACTGCTCAAGATAGAATCATCCATAAAGTAAGAAAATAGGAGCGACGCAGAAATGTAACTGTGTAGTATAGGTTCAGTCGAGGATTAAGTAAAATTCTGTGTCCAGTGCGTGATGTAGATTTCAATAGACTTGTTGGGCTGCAATGCAAAACGAACATTTGGTAAGTTAGGTGAAATTGTAGCAAGTACCTAAGAAAAGAGCCAACTGGAACATCCATCTAGCATATAAGTCGTATGGAGCTGGATGTAGTTGTCACAACTATTCGAGAGAGAGAATTTAATCTAACGTAGATGCATCCACTCTCTTCGGGCCTATTGTAACGCATAAACGTTCCTCTAGAAAAGCACAAATATATAGTTATGAAAACTACCAAAAAACATAACCGTATAAACGTATGTGTAATAGCACAACAGAAATAAGTTACATCAGGTGCACCTGTTACAATAAGAATTGTCACAATAAGAATTACAACGGAAAAGTGATCATCATCATCATCAATACAAGTCAGCTGAAGGTAATAAACACAATTCAGCCAATGTGCCACAATACAAAAATAAAAAATATATGAATTGGAAAGTGATAACTCTAGACAACAACAATAGGGAACAATAATTCGTTGAATACATCTCATCTATTGAATTATGGAGTCCCCAGCGATCACTGACTTAAGGTTTGATGCGCTTTGGCAAAGTGCACTCGGAGGGTAAAGGCCATGTGAAAAACTGCTCGATGCTGTCTTCTACGACGAAAACAATGACAGCATATCTGGGCAGTTCGACTCACAGTAATCTTCACCACAAGCCCAACGCATGCACTAGGGTTAGCGAAAAAACGAGAATGATAAAGTGCAAAGTGTCCGGCAAGGGTTTGACTTACTTTGTAGTCTCAGTCGCTTGATAAGCTTGTGAAACGTCAACGGTAGCAACAATTTCGATCCAACAAGTTCGGGTTAGATGCAACCGCTGAAGGCTGCCTGGGGCACGTTTTCCTCTGCTACTCTCAGAGCGAATTGCCTGTAATCATGAAAATAAGTATTACTGAGAGCACCCGAGAAGCTGCAAGACAACTTTCCTAAGAGTTCGTGAGATAACGACCCAACTAGTTCCTTGAAGAATCTTTCCGGTAACCCTTTTCCCGGTTCCAAATAGGTGAACTCAGGAAATATTATCAGATAAGTTCTCGCAGGAAAGTGACGCGTTGAGTGATTTTTTCGGTAGCTGTCTGTGATTGACAAATTGCTGTCTGTAGATGACAGGTTCTTGTCTGGGAAACAAACCACGCAGTGAATTCCACTTTTCCGATATGGGAACGCTTGGAAGTAAACCAGTCGGGCGGGAAAATCGCGTTGCTACCTCACTGAGAAAGCTGAGAATGTAAATGCTGAAGTTCAGGTTACAGGAAAACAGCAAAGATAGAGAGACATGAAATTGCCAGTTTTCCAAAGCATCCTTAAGGTGATATATCGGAAATGTCTGGATGATAGTCGGAAGTCCAGGGAAGTGATAACACGCACCTGCAACTTAAAGTCTCTATCATTCATATCCGACTGCCTATGATACTAACGGTATCCGATGGCCTTTCCCAGCTGGAATTTGGAAAATGGTTATCCGAACGATTCTCGTCATGGAACTGCGAAAAGACAGTTGCATCACAAAGTCGTCGATAAGCTACATTGTGGCTTCTCGTGTGGTGTTAATAAGACTTGACTTCACGATACCTTGAATTTCGAGATGATCGAAGCGATTCCGGGTAACCAGCTCAGAGGTTAGTTGTAAAAATCGTGCCCCAGGCAGGCGCTAGCAAAGTGGACCACTGCATCTAACCCCAAGCTATCAAGTGGGTTCAGTTTAACTAGACAACAGCGACACAAGCTGAGAAGTGCGGTGGATCAAGTTGCCACGACGCAAGTCACCTAAAAACTGTAAATATCGGCGATTAAAACAGGAAGTGAGCCGCAAAAATGCAGGGAAATGGGAATGAAGTGTATAAAATCAACCAGGATGAAATATAAACAGCTAGATGTAAGAAACCAAATAGAAGAACGCCGCAGAATGCACGGCTGAACCATGTCTGGTAGAATCCCCAACCACAGATGTGGACCATCCCCGGGCCCCCATTCACGAACACGATAGGCACCAGTCTCTCAGACAATTTCCTCAGGCGTTTATGTTACGCCATCGATTGGCCATCTCGCGATTCTACCCAAATTGGTGCAGTGATAGCAATTAATTAACGCTAAGGAAGGCGGTCAATAAGCATACCGAGGATATGGCACAGCCCTCGAAAGCAGTTGTGCCTTGGTAAACACTCCAATGCAGCACCAATTCTGCGTCACTGCTCTAAAATGTCAAGGAAATCACGTTGTGGTTTCTGTTCGAAAATGGTTGAACACATGGCAAATGCCCATACGTACTTCGATTGCTGTGCTAGACTTCCTATTTTGTGCACTGGATCACCTACCGATTTCTAGTGTCTTGTGCATTCCATTCAACACAATCGCATTATGCAACAAATGCCGCAGCCGAAGGCAGACAGGAAGATCTTGACCAAGAAATGTTAAACTGAGCAATTCCAGACACAATCACACACACACACACACAATGGCTTAGATTCCATCCGATGTTCAACATAGCCTTCCTGCTCTTCCCCTGGCAAGTCATTACCTGGATGGCCGATGGTTTCCGAAGGCAAGACACCAACGGAGATTGGTAGTCCACTGTGCTTGTGCTCAGCAAGATTTAAAGACCTAATTGACAAGAATAATAATGTACATATTCGATGGCTAAGAAGTCATGGAAAATTAACGACGGGAAAAACTGCGAAAGGGAGAGAAACTTTCCAAAATTAATCAACAATTGTCTTGATCAAGTAAGGCTCAAGGTCATCCTCCTACCGCAGGACCCGTTCCAAATGGTCTTTCACGCTACTGGGAGCACCGAGTTAGGCCCTATGGCGCGGTATGATCACGATGTTGAGTTTCGTGTGTTATGCCCATTCAACATTAGAAGAGGAGTTGTTACGAAGAGATTTCTTTTCGATAATTCTCCTCAGCCATTTACAATTACGATAAAACTTGATACAACACGAGCAACTATCTAAAGCTGCAGTGGTGAATGGTTAGGTCACAGTTCAACGGAAGGTCAACGAGGCAATCGATAGATCACTGAATGAAATCAGGTGGTAAACATCACGCGCTTTCATACCCCAAACATTAAAAGGTGAATATAACAAGAAAGAAATGATTGATTTGGGGGGGGGGCAAAGCTCACAGTTAATCTTGGGCAAAGGTAGGTACGGACGGCGTCAATCGTCCAGTCCAAGGCAACATGAGCACCTGTACAAGCGTCCTCTGCTTGCATAACTCCGGTTGCAGCAGCGTAATAGCCACTGCTTCTGAAGTAGCCAACAGACGCTTCATGAGTCCCTTTGGGTTGCGTTTAGATATGGTGTAGTACTTTGAAAGCGTCATCAGTCCCAACATGATGCCGCGTACTAATCAAGGTCGGAGCTATGTGCATTTTTAACTGTACATGCAATTCCTTAGTTTTGTGCCGATGAAATACAAGAGAAATCTTGTGCGGTATCTTTACTATCGCGATGCAAAAATCTGAAGTCCAGCAACATTGGATGCCGAGAAGAAGTTTATTCTCACAACGCTACAAAACGACGGTTATCCCACGACATTTACCCACAAGCATTCTGCTGTTCCTGATCAACCTAAAGAAATAGCAACGGTAAAGAAAAAGGACGTCTTCATTTCGGTCCCGTTCAAATGAGATATCGCATATGAATTAGTGAACGAAAGACTGTCCGTCGCTGTGAACCAAACATATCTGGCTGCAAGAGTCCACCTTCGTGCCGAGACTGTTCCGTTTATCACGAAAATCCTCAAAGACAGACTCCCGGCTCGTTCCGAATCTTTCGTTGTATATCATTTCACCTGCGGCTGTGGTGCCAGGTACCTCGGACACACTACCAGGCCTCTGTCTCAGAGGATAGCAGAATACTGTTCCGCCTCTCTAAGGCATGGCACAGTTAAGAATTCTCATAGCACCGTCCTTGAACACTTGATTAGTACTCGGCATCATTTTCGGACCGATGACGCCCTCAAAGTTGCTTATACCTGTTTAAACGCAACCCAAAAGGACTGCGGAAGCGCCTGTTGGCTACTTCTGAAGCAATGGCTATCACGCTGCTGCAACCGAAGTTATGCAAGCAGAGGACGCTTGTACAAGCGCTCACGCTGCCTTGGCCGGAACGATTGACGACCCCGTACCTACCTTTGCCCAGGACTAACTGTAAGGTTTGACATCAAACCAACCATTTCTTTCTTGTTATCTTTGCCTTTCCGTGTTTGGGGTGTGAAAGCGCGTGACGTTTACCACCTGATTTCATTCAGTGATCTATTGACTGCCTCGTTGACCTTCCGTTGAACTGTGACCTAACCATTCACCACTGCAGCTTTAGATAGTTGCTCGTGTTGTATCAAGTTTTATCATAATTGTAAATGGCTGAGGAGAATTATCGAAAAGAGATCTCTTCGCAGCAACTCCTCTTGTTCTGATGTTGAGCTTTTATAGGATCTAGTTGATAGGGTCTTCAAAGTGGGTGAAGACGAAGTGATCGTGAGGAAAGCCGTCTGCTTCGACAAGAACTGTTGAAAAGGAGTAACAGAGATCAGCCCGAAGCTAACATTGTTTTGGATGTGCATGCTGAGAGGTAGGAAAATGCATATTCACCCGAGTATGGATCTAACTGATCGACAGCGCCTAAAGCGTGCTATCATAGAGCTACATCGGTGAACCGGCGATGGAGAAACAAATCTACGTATTTGAAATTTTCGGGTGGCTATAAAAGTGAAGTGAAGTAGGATAAATCGGCAGCTAACTCTTCAGGCATGCCCAGTAGTTCCTACCGCGGACTGCGTGTAGCTACCACCAAATATGCAGCCTCATGATGAGTTGTACCGCTTTATTACCTCTGAGAGGCTAGACGTAGTAGGACTCGCAGAGACATGGTTAAATGCTGAGGTTATGAACAAGTAAGCTGGGCTTGGTAGCCACTCGTGCTTCCGCTGTGATAGTCTATCGAATGCCCCACATCCCGTCTTCGCTATGTGGGAGACTTATGAGCGCCTACTGA